TCATGCTTTACAAAGCATTTGGTATATCACATAGATCATGTTATTCGGGATTTCATACCGCATATGCTATATATTGATATCAAGTCACTTGGTTGACTATAATTATCAAAAATCACTCTCAGTTGGTTGGATTATTTATTCCTTGACTATATGCTTGGTTTGTTCAACTAACCATAGTCGGGGGCTACACCTATTAGGTGCATCTATTAGATGCACCTGACCTTATTTTTCAGCCCTCCACAGTCCTCTGATTTGGTAAAAGTACTCGGGAGACCATGGCGAAGATGATTGAAGCACTCGGCTTTAGAGTAATCTGGTTCGAGGAAAGATTATCTTCTCGATTGTGAAGGTCTTAGGGGCTACTGTGGAGATTATGGGTACCCCATACCCACACGGCATGGTTATCCGACTGGTTGTAGGGGATAACTTATATCTATATAATATGGAATGGCCTAAAGTCCTGATTTGATAATATTGTAAAGTAGATTTAGGAAGCCAGTACCGTATTGGTTAAGGCTTCTATCTTGTAATCATGCCCCCTATCCTATATAATGTGAGCAGGAGGCCCTCTAGGGGCATGACCACATATGTTCATCAGATCTATACTATACCCGGCGGATTCAAATCCCCAAACAGGAGTAGGTTATTACCTTTCATTGAGAGGGCCTGAACCTGTCTAAATCCTTTGTCTCCTCATTCATCTACTTTTAGGTCTCGTGCGCTACCCCTTTTATTATTGCCGAATTCATGTTTCGACAATACCAAATTACCAACCGAAGAGACAACTTCTCAAGAACTCATTTAGTACGGAATTAATAACTGAAAGAGGTGGCTACGATCAATACGAATATTCGAAATTGACAGTAGCAGAGGCTGCAGGCGCTGAGGACGGATGGCCACTGGCACTACTCAGTGATGAGAACAAGAGAGAGGGCCATGGCGACGATGGATTGAATGGAAATCAGGGTGAAATAATTGAGCTGAGGGCGCACGGCCGCGTGGGGCGGCGGACATGGGACTGGCTTCGCCCTTTTGGTGCCATTGCCACGCATGCATGCCAGATCGAACTAGCCATAAAGCGGCCGGCAGGGCACAGGACGAGCATGATTAATAAGCCTCACATGAATCAATTCCATCGAATGTACGTTCCAAGGAATTTCACAGAAAATTGTTATGTTGCCTGCAGTACGAAATTCGTACGTAGGTATGTACGTACTCTATATTTGTAACTGGGAATTTCTGATGCTACGTACGATAACCACATCATATTCTTCTTGCTAGGCCATCAGTCACGAGAGAGTGCGCGGAATATTGCGGTGCGTTATGCGGATAATGTGATAATTGGTCATGCATGTTAATTAATTAGGGGCTATATTAATTCAACTTTGCATAATTTCTATTGCTAACAGCAATATAATTAACCACACCGATAATCTCTTGGCATTTTATATTGCAAGGCGACTCGATGTATATAAGCACGTGTGATATTTCGCATTTCATGTCTCCGCAATACTTTTTTTAATTACATGCGTTGGCGCGCACACACGTGAAAATATAACTCTCTAGGACATTCTTAAGACATACTTCCTCCGTTTCACAATGTAAGTCATTCTAATATTTTCCACATTTATGCATTCATTATTAATATCAGTATGAATGTGGGAAATGCTAGAATGTATCTATCTAGATTTATTAACATCAGCATGAATGTGGAAAATACTAAAATGATATACATTATGAAACAGAGGGAGTAAATGATAATTAAAAGATAGATCCATGAAGTAATTATACTAGTGATGCTGTTGGTAACAAAATTCAGAAATTAAAGACCGTACCAGGCATGAAAGCTTAGCATTGGTTGGAAAGATGTCTGAGCCGTACTATTCTAGCCGATGGAATCAAAATCATGTTCTCTCTCCTAAGTCTAAACAGCTGGAGGCACGACGCTCTGTCCTTTGTTTCATGGATCATGCCAAGATTGTTCGTCACGTGTTGCTTAACTGAATTCAAGGCCATGGGGCTAGAATTTGTTGCTGGCAACTTTGAATTCCTGTGTGTAGGGCCGAATCAAGTCTATCTACTGCATGGAAGAACAATCTACTGCCAATATTCTACCATCTTGATAAGGTATTAGGAGGTATCACATTTTCTATTATAAAACTTATATCACATCCTTATAAAACTATGTATTTCGAGTTATCAAAATTTGTAAAATTTTGTTACGTATAAATATTTTTAATATTTTCCAAGGACCGTAAAATTTATCCCCTTTTAAACCTCTGAAGGTACATGGATTTTAAGGCCAAGCCAAAGAAATTAAACCTTGGAGTTACAAAATAAGGCCATATATTAAGAAACAACAATAGCAAAAATGTAATGTTTGTTTCGTTACATAAATGCAAATGTAACACTAAGAATTGCATTAAGCATTCGTCCTAAAAGAGTATTAAGTAAAGATATTATGTAAACACTTACTGATATCTTAAAAAGTCTATAATACCCTTGTAAAGAATTCTTCAATGTTATATTATCTTATATGACTAACTACTTCTCCATTCTTATTTTGATCAATTCCTAGTTCCCTTCCTAAGTTAAAATTGGCCATTTGGTAATTAATCTTCTCCTATTTGAAAAATGGATTTATTTGCTTTTTTTAAACAACTTCTATATATAATTTTGTTAAAAAAACATATCATTTAATAGTTTGAAAAGCATGCTAACGGAAAACGAGAAAATTAAAATTGGAGTTGAAGAATAGAACCAGGCCTTTGTAGTATATACTTATAACTAAATATTTGGGGTCCTGTTCTATCGCCATATTAAACATGCTTATACACAGCTTAAATGTTTTTGTTTTTCACTTATGGTACAAATAATTATAAATATTCTAAAGTATGCCAGAATACGATATACACATGGAGAAAGAAAAATATCAGATTAGACTTGAAAAAACATAGTCACATTTGCAATTTGAATTTTTTTTGTCCATGCATATTGAATTTGATTTTGCAAGTTTATAGGGACGTCTACAATCAATAATCCAAGTTTTCTAATGTTTCTAGAAAAAAAAATGTAAGAAACGAGGGCTTAAAATCTCCATCCTATTATCCCAGTATCAACGGAAAACCATCTAGAAACATTAATTTGAACCATACAATATGCTTTCATTAACTTTGACATGAACCAAAATAAAGAATGTAAGTAGGTAGGTAGGTAAACCAGGACAAATAAAGGAATATATGATAATTATAAGCTGCAAGAAACATGCACACCGGCTCTTCTGATAGGGCTGCGCTGAAAACATGTCATCACCGGTTCCTATCATGAGGTAATCGATCATATTCGGTACGTCTCTCTCCTCTCCTGGAGTAGGCAGACGCAATCTTACATTCTTACCTAAATCACTTTCTCTAATCCGCCATTACAGCCATGAATTGGAGTAAAGCAGCTTGGTCAGCTAGCACTCATCAGCAAAAGGTCTTATGCTTTCCTACAGGAAGAAGCAGCCACATGAAAGAGCTGAAAAAAACAGAGCAAGAACCACTTCCTTTCGGTTTTCTAGTGTAGCACTGGCAAACATTTTTTTCACTAACCAAACTCAAGATTAGTCGGCTAGCTAGTGATTATTGCAGAATGGTTTTGTTAAGACCACCCTAATCTATAATTAGGAGTTAGGCTTAGCCAAAAGTTTGATCATGGAAGCACAATCACTTCATGTCTGCATTCGTGTTACAATTTTTTTTAGATAATGGAAATGGATTACATCTCCGGTTTCTGTCATAAGACACACAGCCATAAGTTTAATAGTAATAAAAAGGTAAGATAAAAGTAAATCAAAATGAGAAATAAGGTGATGGGACAAATCCCCAACTCTCCTTTATTATTGACTAGCGTTAAATCACATAAAATATTTTAGCTAGCAATTCTTATAGAACTACGCTACCCATAGTGGAATAAGAGACTCTTGGCTACCGATTCCAAGAGTGTAGCACCATTGCGCATAGTATTCTGCTCCTCCTGTGGTAGCATTGTAGACCAGAAGTGGAGCCAGTAGGAAGACATGAAGATAACCTGCATAGGGTTAGATAATTGTTTACCATTAAAAACTTTATCATTGCGACAACGCCAAATTGACCAACATACAGCGCTAGCTCCAATTAGAATCATCTTCTTAATGGACCTAGATACCCCTCTAAGCCAATTACCGAAAATGTTTTTGGTGTTACGGGGTGGGGGATATTAAAAGCAAAAAACACACATCTCCAAACAAACTAAGCGACATGACACTCAAAGAAAAGATGTTGGATTGTCTCTTGTGCATAGCAGAAAGAACATTGTTTGTCTCCCCCTCCCCCCAATTTCTTTTAGCCAGGTTATCTTTCGTTAGAATTACTTTCTTGTGAAGAAACCACATAAAGACCTTGATCTTTAGTGGAATTTTCAAGTCCCACAGAATTCTCTTTTTATCCAAACATTATAGTTCATGATCGCGGCATATATAGATTTGACGGAAAATTGACCATTCTTATGGAGCGACCATACAAAGCAGTCCTTTTCATTTGACAGAGTTATATTAGCTAGCCTGAGGATCAAATCGTTCCACTCAATTAGCTTTTGGCCAACAATAGCCCTTCTAAAAGAAATATTTAGCGGCGTTGTGCTCATGACCTCTGCCACAGTAGACTGCTTCTTTCGAGCCACATTATATAATGTAGGGTATTAATCTTTGAAAGCACGCGATCCCAACCACATGTCTTCCTAAAATCTTATGTTTACCCCATTGCGACATCTAAAAGAACCAAACCTAAGAAATTGGTCTTTGACTTTCATTAAACCAGCCCAGAACTGAGAAATACCTATCTTGCTGGACATACCAGAAAGAGGTTTACCCTTTAAGTATTAATTTCCCAAAAGGTCTTGCCATAGGCCTTCACCATTAAACAACTAGAAAAGCCATTTGTTAATAAGTAGCTATTACGATAACAGAGAACTTTTACGATGATCTCTACTGGTAGTATCACGGACGGCACAATCAACGGCGGGCGCTTCAAAAACGTGAAGGGAAGTGGGAGTATTTAGGACCCTTCCCAGCAATCTCACCCATCCCTCCCCTTCCCCTGCTTCGGCAGCTGCTGGTGTGGTGATACACTCGCCTAGCTTTGGCCACCACTAATCTCTGCTCTGCTTTTTCTCCTCTGCTCCACTGATCATCCAATTCTTCTCTTCCTGATTGGCCATTCTGATTGGCTGGTGACATGTCGAAGGTGAGCCTTTCTTGCTCTTGGATTCTGATCCTGATTAGCTCGTGTAGAATCAGGATCATCATCTTTTCTTCTTCAGATCCCAACAACCTTTTTTCTTGCTTGTCTTCCTGAATTGTATCATGTTCAGGTGTTTGTGATTCACACATTGCCAACCTTAACCCTCTGTTTCACATGTTGCTCTGCTGCAGAAAATTGTGGTGAAGCTGGACCTGCATGACAACAAGGACAAGCAGAAGGCCATGAAGGCCGTCTCCTCGGTTATCGGTACGAACAATCGTCTCGAATCTCGATCGATGCATCCACCATTTCTGTCTGTGATTCTGTGTACATCAACGAACTCTCTGAAGTCTGAACATATGTCTGATTGATTGTTGTGTGTGCGTGTGTCAGGAATCGACGCCATTTCGATGGACATGGCGTCGCGGAAGATGACGGTGATCGGCACGGTGGATCCGGTGGACGTGGTGAGCAAGCTCCGCAAGGCGTCGTGGGCGGCCTACATCGAGTCGGTCGGACCGGCCAAGGAGCCGGAGAAGAAGGAGGAGAAGAAGGAGGAGGCCAAGAAGGACGCCGGCGGCGGCGGCGGCGACGGCAAGAAGGAAGGAGGTGACGGCAAGAAGGAGGAGGGCGGCGACGGCAAGAAGGAGGGGGAAGGCAAGAAGGAAGGCGACGGCGGCGGCGACAAGAAGGAGGGCGAAGGCAAGAAGGAAGGCGACGGCGGCGGCGACAAGAAGGACGGCAACGGCGACGGCAAGAAGGAGGGCGACGCGAAGGCCGCCAAGAAGGAGGAAGGCGGCGGCGGCGGCGGCGACGGCGGAGGGAAGAAACCAGCCGCGGTGGCGCCGATGCCGATGCCGATGCCGCTGCACCACCTCCCACCGCAGTACTTCAACATGGAGTACATGAACCAGTATCACCGGCCGCCGCCGCCGCCGCCGGCCTACCCGTACGTGCCGCCGCCGCAGTACTACTACGTCCGCAACATGAGCATGGAGGAGAACCCCAACTCGTGCGCCATTTGCTGATCGAAAAAAAAAAACGCCATGGCAAATGAGCACCATGAATGCTTTGCATCTCAATGCATGATCTGTGTGCACTTCTGCAGCAGGTAGGCGACGCGTGCGTGCGTACACGCTTGTGTTCTTGATCGATCGGCCGTGATGTGTATAGTATAAGATCTCAGTGTTTATGATGAGAAGAACAAATTAAGTTTGCGTGATCGAACCAGTACGTACATAGTAGTAAGTTCGTTTTTTTTTTCTTTTCGACAAATTCAACCAACCTCTTCATCGGTGGATATATCCGGTTAATGAAATATATGATGAGACCAACAAAGTTTGCAAGATCAAACTAGTATACATAGTATGTTTACGGTTTTTTCGACAAAGGAATTCAATCCAGCTTCTGCAGGATGTATTTTGGCCGAATTAAGTACTACCTTCTTCTCAAATTTTATGGGTAAAATCTCTTATATTTTAAGACAGAAGATTTACGTACAATTTGTAATTGGAAATTTGTGATGCTACGTTCTGTCTGACCCAGGTGCATGCTTCCTACTATAACCACACCATCCTTTTTCTCTAAAAAAAACCACACCATCTTTTTCTTTCAAGCAAAGAGAACCAGCAGTAGGAGAGATAGAGAGAGATGGGCATGAGAGAGTGGGGAATATGCAGCGCATGATAGATGAGTGGTCATGCATGTGGTGGGTGCTGTTCAGACTTTGCTTTCTAGCTAGGAGCATTAGAACATCACCAATAAAACTTTGGCATTTTCTCTCCCAATTGTAGCTCGATGCATGTGTATTACCAGCCTAGAGATATGGAGCATATTAATCATGTTTCTACAGTTTCTTGAGAAGAAATTCTCTTGGCAAGACCAGTCATGGAAAAAGTTAGCATCTGTTGGCCTGAAAGATCTCTGGGCCGTACGATTTATTTTTTTTTGAAACCTAAGTTGGAACTTTGTTCCACTTTTATATTTAGAAGAAGAGAATTGACCCAGTTTATAAGGAAAACCGGGCCCGAAAACCATACAGTTGCACGGTTAATTACGGGAAACCGGCTAAAACCCACCACACAGAAGAAAGCAAGAGACCTAACTACAACTAGCATCGACGGCGGAGCCCAATTGTACCACATCATTGTCAAGCTAAAACACAGAAGCGGCCTAAACAGCTCTAACATCACAGAAGAGGTGTTATCGTTGCCGAGCTGGCCGCCCAAGCGACCCAGCAGCGCCGACTTCACAACCGCAGCGACACTGGAGCCGCGAAAGTCACCAGAGCGAAAAGCAGCTCCGACATCTAACAATGGACATCAGCCAAGCCACCAAAGAGCCACTTCCTTCACACGGCCAGCACCAAACTCCTTGGAAGAGACTGCAACTTGTCATCGTCGCCAAGCATCGCCGCACCCCATCAGCGAGCAGCTCCGACTTCATCAGCAGAAGCAACCGAAGAGCGTGTCGCCCACCACAATAACGAAGCGGACCCAAGGAGGCGAAGGCCTCGCCGAACGCCAAGGTATGAAAGTTTTTGAACCGAAAAAGACCCTCCACGGTCATCGATGCATAGGAACTCCTCCGAAGCGACGCCCCCAAGAAGGACACGACGCGTAACGTCGCCGCCTCTCGTCCGAAATCGGAACAAGGTTTTCACCTGGAGATTTGTGGGAAATATGAAAGAATGCCATGACAATGCCTCCAAGGAGGTTTACGGTGCCCATGAGCGTCGTCGTCGTTGAACCGGCCAAAGGCACGGCAAGGCTTTCGCCAGCGTCTTCACATCACGCACACAAGCACCCCACATCAACGACCATGGAATAGTCCATGACGTCTCACAAGCAGTCATACCTCGACGTAACCAAACACGCCAACGCATCCACATCCACACATCACGAGCAGGAGGCTCGCCGCCAGCGAGCAACCCTGCCGGAGCCCGCCTCGACTTCGCGCAGCCGCTGAGCTTGCCAGAGCCCTCTTGAGCCGTGCAACGCCGCCACACGCAACCGCCGCCCACGCCACGCCCGCTCCCGGTCTCCTCCTTTCCAGCCGCCCAACTCCTTCCCCGCCTTCATATGCTGCCGCTAACGTCGACACGCCGTCTGTCGCACGGCGCCACCGTCGCCAGCCAACACCACCACGGCCGCCGCCGTCAGCCGCCGTGGTCCACCGGTCATCTCCCCGCCACCATCACCAGCCGCGGCCGCCAGCCGCCACCATCACCGGTCGCTGCCACCAGCCGCCGCCCGTGCAGATCCGGCCGGGGTGGCGCGGATCCAGGGGACGGAGCACGCCTCGGTGCCGGGCTGGAGCGAGACGACCAGGACGACGCGGCGGAGGTCCCTGCCGTGGCGTCCTGGTCGCGCCGCGGTCCACCACCGACGTCGAGTCGTCGTGGTCCGCCGCCGACGTTGCCTTCAGTCGCCGAGGTCCGCCGCCGTCGTCGGCACCGTCACCGTCAATCCCCCCGCCGGCCACCCCCCTCCAGATCCGGCCGGATGTGGCGTGGATCTGGCCGCCACCGCCGCCGCCCCGGACAGCTCCCCCAGCCGCCGAGCGTGGGGTGGGCGAGGCGAGACCCCGCCGCCGCCGTCCTTGCGGCTGCGCGGCTTTGCCGGCACCCGCTCGGGCGGCGGCGAGGTGGAGGAGGGGGCGGTGGGAGGAGGAAAGCGGCGGCGCGCGCGTCGCGCCGCGAGCTGCCCGGGGGAGGGCGACGCGAGGGCCTATCTCCCTAATAAGCTGTTCGCCGTACGATTTATAGCTGGTAGGAATCAAAATCATGGTCTCCTATCAGCTGAATGCACTCCACTTTGTTCTTTGTTTGCTGAACCATAAGTCAAACACCATTTGTTTAAGATTTTGACAGTTCTTGCTCTTTGGAGAGCTGAAATTTATGTGTAAGGGGAGAGTTTGTGTCTAGTTGACCTATATATACTCCCTACATCCATAATTTACAATTGTTTGGCCTTAATCCGAAATTGATGTACTAGTTATCTCATAATCAACTCTAATTCTATTTTCTATACGCCTTGCCCCCCAATAAACATTCCACTCACCACTGTGGAAAAATCTAATCTAATTGTTGTATTCATGTTTTCTCTAATCTATTACATTGATCCTCTTATGGGGTATATATAGAAGTACATAAGGGATAGAGAGTACCCCCTCCATTCCAAATTGATCTACATATAGTTTTTTGAGGTTATTGCTAAATGATCTACATATTTGTGTTCATTCATGAAGTATATTCGTTATTTGTGCATTGGAGTAAATGGATATTGATGCATGCATCCATGCACATAAGTATTTATAACCCACATGCAATATCTTGGTTTGCTATTGGCTAGGAAATAGTGGGGATGGTGCATGCATAGAGTTTGTTGCTAGAGTAAATATAGTATGAGAGAGTTATTAGCTTTTTTTGGTTTTGGTGTACCTATGAAATATGTAGATCAATTTAGAATGGAGGGAGTACAATACAAGTAAGAGTCGATTTATCTCTAGAATTCTATCTCTAGGACTCTATCTTATATCTAGGATTCTATCTCTAGAATATATCTTATCTCTATAATTTGTATTTGACTCTTATCTTTAACCGTCATATTTATACTTCTAACAACGATCACCTCTTGTTTAATGAGACATCCTAGTTTTTTTCTTTATCCTTGATCCCTCAAAAAGGACAAAATCTCTTCTTATATTACAGGAAAGAGGGGAGTAATATATGGTAAAACTCATCGGAACGCTTGAGTAGCGCGTGCGCACGGTGGTTATTATATCCTACTCCTGATCCGTCCCAGAATATAGCAACCTAAAACCGTATAGGACATATACTAGTACTATGAATCTAGACAGAGAGATATCCAGATTCATAGTACTATGATACATCCCATCCGGTCCTAGATTGCTATATTTTGGGACGGAATGAGTATATTCTGGGACGGAAGGAGTATAACGTTAGCAGTTTGATCCTATCGGATGCTACCATTAGAAAATTGTCTTGAGCCAAATATTATAATTCTTTTGAATTAATTTAATAAATTGTTTTGCAATTTCAAATATTTTTAACTGATTTTCTGTAATTTCTCTCAAATTCTGAAATTTCAGAAATCTTAATTTCCAGCCCCCATCTGACTGTTTTTATCATTTCCTTCCGCAACATCTCGTGTGAACATAGCACATACTCTACTACGATGACACATTACACATATATGTTACTGAATTTAATTTGCTAATTCAGCAGTTCCATCTATGATGTCATCGTTTAGCACTTAATTTCCCACATGAAGGATCACGCTAATTAAATTGAAGATTAGTAGTGCGCAGCTAGGCTGTAGGACCACACACTAATTAGTAGTACGTGTGCATGCACTCCCTAGAAAAACTGCACACGGTAACCACACATATAAACTATGCATATAAGCTTCCTAAGTAGGGATGTAAACGGTATGAAAACTTTTCGGATTCCGGACCTATTTTAAAAAACAGAATACGTCGGTTGGAACTTTTCGGAAATGGAAACGAATTCGGAAATATTTTCTCGGAAACGAAATCGAAAATGATAAGGGCAGTTTCTGTCGGAACTCGAAATCGGTCGGAAAACTTTCCTGAAACTTTCTCAGAATTTCTAGAAATTTTGTGACTGAAATACCCTGGATTCTTTTTTCTTAAGCACTGAATAGTGAATACCATGGTGATTGGTTGTTATTTTTTAAAAAATATTTGTTATGCAAATCTAAAATTACATAAGAATATTTTTTTTCATGCATTGGGATTTATCAACAGCATTACTCTCTTAAACATAGATAATTTATTCCATAGATTGTGTTTTGTAATGTACGATTGGTACTTAACAATTGGATTTATATAATTGTGTTTTACGATGAATTGTTGACCGTTGAGACTTGAGAATTGGATTTATCACTTTAAGAGATTTTTTATTCCGATAAATTTTTGTTACCGTATTTGCGCCGATTCATTTTTGCTCCGTTTTCGGTTTCGATAATATTCGATTCTGTTTTCGTATCCGGGGTTTTCGATTCCGAAAATAATATGAAAACGAAAACGATAAAGATGGTTTACGTCTGTTTCCGTACCGTTTTCACCCCTATTCCTATGTATACCTTGTACCTACCAATTAACAAATATCCCAGAAAATTCTAAAACTAATCTGACATGTACTCTTAAATAGTATTACACGTATCTACAAATTCGTATATTTAAATTCATTATATTTTTGCCGTCAAAAAAAAGAAAAATCTAACGGTTTTAAGAGTGAAAATCTATCAGAATTTTATCTTTTTTTTCGTCTAAAATATATTGAGTTTGAATATGACATTTCACATATAGGTATA